TATGTATGTGTATATATGTATATACATACACATACATATATACATACATATATGTGTATTTATACACACACAGACTTGAGGGGTTCAGATAGGGGTTTGATAGGGTTTAAGGATTCTAGAACGGTTTAGAAAGAATGATCAATAGTCCCCGTATCCCTTTCCAATGTACTACAATAACGGGACCCCAAACCCTATTCGAGCTACTAAGCCCCTACATCAGTGCGCGGTGTTTTTGCTTTGAGGCTTCAGGGGTGGTGGATTTCAGGATTTTAGGCTGTAAGGCCTTGGGGGTGCAGAGTTGTTGGCATTGGTTTTGCGGGTTCTTGAGTATCGAGTTGGATGCCAAAAGGCGGTTTGGCTCATTCAAAGGAGGACCGCCTGAACCTAATGGGCTTAGGGCCCAGGAATGGTTGGAAACTGGGTCGGAGAGTATGAGCATTCTTGATCGCAACATTCTGGCTGATGACGAGGGTAAGAAGCACGCCAGCAAGAAATGCAGCAGCATGATGATCAGTGCAGCAATGCCCCAAAATCCTGAGCCCTACAACCCCATGTCCCTAAGCCTTTGACTCTCTGAGCCTCTCAAGAGGCCCAAAAACCCCTGAACCCCCCCCCTCAATCGAGAGCTGCGGCTTGAGCTCAGGAGTGACGTCCTTTGGTAGCCGGGATCACGGCGCCAGCTGCAAGAAAGTTGAGGCTGAAAATATGCAAACACAAGGGCTGGAAATTCAGAAAGGTAGAGATTGGGAGATCCGGAAATGTAAACGGTCGGCAACTGTAGATGGTGAGTATCCAGAGAGATGAGGAATGCCCGAAATGAAAGCATCCAATCTGACACATTCGCGCAGCGAAGAGGGGCAATCGCAACCTATCTTGACTGCACTCTGTCGCGTCCCTTCCTGGAGTTTAGAGTTTAGGAGTCAAAATACGAGTAGGAGTTCCCCCGAACAAGTCGTGGTTGCCTTTTGCTTTGGGTTGCTTCGCACTTTCACGTGGAGGAACGACTTGTGGACGTGGAAAAGATCGCGGCAACATCTGGGGCCTTTGCGGCCATCTGCCGTGACGGCTCTGTGGTGCCCAGGTTGCAAGCAAGACTTGTTGCCGTGAGGGGATACTTGGAGGATCATGGGGCTTAGTAAGTAAGGTTATAAGTCCCCTAATTGGGGTTATAAGTATAGTTACCTTAGTTATATCCCTACTTACTAAGTCCAATGCTCCTTTAAGTAGGTCTCCTTCGTAGTGAGGTAGGCCGGCTCTCCATCGGTCTGCTTCGATTCCCCCGGAGGTGACTTGGGGCCGCCCCCAATGCGGGGCGAATAGCATCAGCGTGCGGTCCCAGCTGCGGGAAATTGTCGAAGTCTGACTCTTGGCCGGCAAGTGAGGGACACGGGGAGTGAGAAAGTGAGTAAGTAAGCCAGCGAGAGAAAGCGCATGCGGGAGGCAAATTAAGCATGGTTTGTGTATTTGCATGTGCATATATATGTAGAGAGAGGGAGCTGTCTTTTTCAAAAAAATAGTGAGTTTGCAGGTGCCATGGTTCAAAGACATGGGGGGTTCATCATACACCATCCACCAAATGTTCAGAAAACATCGCACTCTTTGTCGGTAAGTACCGCGTGCTTTATCAGGAAACACCGCACGCTTTATTAGGAATAGCTGGAGCTTGCTATTGGGAGAGAGCCATGCATTGAGGTGTCCACCGGATGCATGGCGAGTGTTATGTGGCAACAGACACAGCAGCCGCCAGCAGGGTTTAGGGTTTAGGGCCGCCCGTAAGTAGCAGGATAGGCTTTGGGCATATGTTTAGATTTGGAGCTGGATATGCATTTGCAGGCATCTGTAGAATGCATGGAGCTACGTACGCTGCCGTGCCCCGGAGCATCGTCCGCTAGTCAAAAGCGGTTTGTTTGCCGTACGAAAGACGGTTTGTATGTGAATAGACATACCAATCAAATGCAATTGAACATTGCGCGTTTTCAAGGACAAAAAAGCATATGGCTTGTTTGAGTTCTCCGTATCTTCGAGTTGCTTTGATCGACGCACGTCCGATAGAGGCGAGAGAGGCAGTCTCATGTCTTTTAAAGTGCGCGTGCAAAACCCATCACCCTCTCTCTCTCTATATATATATATATAAATAAATAATTCTGTATAAACGTATGTACAGATAGATAAAACAGACAGATAGGTACAGACCTTCAGGTTAGTATAAACAATACAGATCTATAGATGCATTTATTGAGCATTCATACATACATTCATTCATACATACATACATACATACATACATACCGATATACATTCATGCATGCAGCATACATACACACGTACATGCATATATATATATATATATCCACATATACATATACACATACACACATCACCCTCTCTCTCTCTATATATATATATATACATATATATATATATACATACAATGTATGTAAAAAAGTATGTACAAATAGATAAACAGACAGATAGGTACAGACCTTCAGTTTAGTATAAAACAAAAGAAATCTATAGATGCATTCACTCATACATAGGTATATACAGTCATGCATGCATACAGCATACATACACACGTACATGCATATATATATATATACATATATTTTCATATACACACATATATACGTACATACATACATGCATACATACATGCATACATGGCTCGAGAGATAGGCAGGAAGCGTCAGAAAGATTTAGATGCATACATGGGTAGACTTGGGAAAGATAAAATAAGTATACAGTAAGACAGGGACTGCACGTACATGCGTACATACGCATTTACTTGCACACGTACGTGCCTCGCTACATACCTACGTACATAGGTACGTGCATACTAGCTAGCTGGGCAGGTCGGTCGGCAGGTCAGTCGGCAGGCAGGTATAAGGACGGACGGAAGAACGGAATGACATACATGCATGTGCACATATGTTGTTTGTATCTATAGGCACACAAATACACAGGTTGTAAACAAATTGAAAGTTGTGCTACATGCGTGCTAGGTGGTACCGCCAATGCTTTTGCAGCCCGCCGGGCCGACGGTGCTGTGGTCAGCTGGGGATTTGCTTTCTGTCCGCAAGCTCTCAGAGCTGGATTGACGGAAACAAGCCCTATTGAGTGAACTTTGTCATAAATTTAAAATCCCTGATCCTGAAACCCTAAACATCCCCAAAACCTGAAGCCAAGGTGCCCGATGCTAGGTCACAACTCCACACCAATCACACCGAGGCCGGATACGGCGGGAATATTCCGCCAGAGGTTACGGAGGTTCGAGATGCCCAGGAGCACATGGTTCGGCAACCTAGCCGGTGCAACATGTGGACTCAAATCCCTCAACCTTGTGATTAAATCCATGAGGTCACGAAGGTATCTACGCAACGCCCATCCTGACGGTTTCTTCTGTGCTCTCTGCGCGTCGGGTCGTTCAACCCAAAACGGTAAAAGCCTCAGTCATTACATTACACACTTGAAGCTCCTGTGTACCTCAGACATGAGATCCATCCGTCAATCGTCAATCCACACTCAGCGCTACACAACCGTGTCCCAGGCCGAGCGGACAGCTATCACCAGGTGTTGCATGCAAACAACAACTCTAGCTCCTCATCCCAAGTGCGAGCGGAACCTGACAGAAGTTCGTTACTTGATTTATGGCTAGTCGACGATAAACAGATACCCATCCATACCCAGACGTGCAGAGACATCATACGCTTTCATATACGAAGTTGTGCATATATATATATACACATACCGGACACCCAACCTTCAAATCACGACAAGCACCGTCATTTTTGGATGCATCCTAGATCCTAGATCTTCGAAGTTGAACTTGTCCGTCCCATTTGTGTCAGGAGCTATGTTCGACTGCCCATACCTTTGCAATGCGCAAAGCTGACGGTGCCCTCAGTGTAGGGCGGTTTAGTGCTTGGGAGATGCTGGGCCCGTTGTTGGAGCTGTGTTTCAATGTGGCGATCACTCCCGACTTCAACTTCGGAGCTTGGGGTTTCTGTTTAATCAGGGTTTGGGTTCAGCACCCATCCTGCAGCAGCATGTGGGAAGCATGCCATGCAAAGACCAGCATCTATACTGCCATTATTGTGCTCGCTGTTGTTACTGTGTTGTGGCCCTGCTTGCTACCATGATGTTCTCTACGTGTTGCATTGCTGCCACGAGTCACCGTACACCCATACACTCATTGCAGCTCTAAGCTTCTGACGAATACATACGAAGAACAAAGGTGACAGTTAGCCTGTGAGTTGAGTTGCCACGACTGCGAGGTCCAACAAACACCAGTAATGATTATCTTCATGCTACTGCTGCAGTTGCATGTATACTATGTCATTCTCAGTTTCTTCGTAGCTTTTTCTCCCATCATAGGGCTGTGGTTACAGATGCACAGTTGGTCTTGCTCTCCTTACTACGATTCTGAGAGCCTTTATAACTTCGCTTCTGCGGCCGCTAAACCCTTAAACACCAGATCTACACCCTAACCCCGAACCGCCCAAATCACAGATTCCGAAGCCCCAAACCCCAGTTTGTGGGATGTGGGTTTTAGCCGAAGGTCCGCCAGCTTAAGTATCACTTCCATGTTGGGGTTTCGGAGGGATTTGGGCTCTGAACTCTCAACCCTAAGGTTCCTGAACTCTTAAAGCCCAGCCCACAGGCCCTCAATGGACAGTTCTCTAAGTTGGGGTCCCTTCTTAGGTCCCCAAAATTGCACGGCGCCCTTACAAAAAGGACCAACTACCTTACATTCGAACAGGGCTTGAGCCCAGCGTCGGAGCCAGAAGCAAAGACAACCCTCGCAGGTACTGTTTTGACGTGGGGACACGGTCTGGACGTTAGCACCTAAGATGCAAAGGACACATGCCCGTTCTGGGTTTGGTGTTTGGGCTTTAGAAAGTGCTTCGAATCCACATCCTAGACCTGAGAGAATGGGAGTTCCCGATGCTGCTGAACCATAAGACCATTCAGCGCATGAAGCTGAGTACCGGAGCACGGGGTTGGTGCCTTTCCTATTTGTACTCCGTTCGTAAGCCCGGTAGACAGAGCACCACAACCAGCCGCTAGCCCAGTTGAGACCTCATCTCCACGCAGCCCGCACAGTACATCAAGGGCCCCAACATTCCGAACGCGATACAAGGCCATGTCCAAGATCAGCTGCAGAATGTCCAGGCGCCCCTTGGCTGGATAGCACAAGTCTTCAGAACTGAGATTCAGCCCTCGCAGTTCGATTAGTGTAGAAGTTGATGTCACATGTAAAGCTGTGTAATGCTTTGTAGCCTCTGTGTATTTCTATGTGCCGTTTTATGTTTAGTTTCTCAATCACGCAGGAACGTTTCAATGTCCATCCTTGGTGCTGGTATTGTACAAGTACCAGTACTGGCAGCGCTTAGTGGCTTTAATGGTCCCTCTTGTAGTAGCCTTCGTAGAGTTCTTTGCAAAATGCCATCACTACCGTGATCTAGTAGTCAAAGTAGTCGCAGCAGTGCTGGGGTCTACAGCACGCAACTTTGTGCTGAAGTTGGCAAGCCATGCCCAAGGTGCAGAAGTCTAAGCATTCCGGCAATAACTAGAAGTCGGAACAACCATGGACATACAAACTATTCAAGCTAACCGCTGATACTACAGTAGTCTTAATACTTCACTGTATAGTAAAAACGATCATGAGCGATCCCAACGCCTGAACCCCAGTAATCTAAAGCTTAAGTCCTGGCCGTCCCAGCCCTTAATCCCTCAACCCGAAGCCCCAAGACCCTGAAAATCCTAAGATGGGTTCTTGTTAAGAAATTCAACTTAAGTTGCCAGAATAGGAACCTGTAGTAAGTTATGGGTACCTGAGACTAGCATCCTTCATAGGAGCCCTGCAACCCCAACCCCAAATCCCAAAGCAAAGGCTTTGCGGCACCAGCTCCGCCTTTGCAGCCCTCAGGGCGGATGGCACTGTGCCTTGTCTCTCTGGTCATTTGGGGTTTGGGGATCTTTGGGGTTTAGGATTATGGGGTTTAGAGTTGTGGGGTGCTGGGCTTTGGGCTAGGATTGCGAGAACGAAATAGGGGTCGGGCGGGGGGCGGGGAAGACACGTTGAACTTGAAGTTGACTGGTTGGGAATAATTGCATTACTCTTTGTTTTAGCCACCCTCTGCCCCGGCACCTTGAGAATCCAAAGCCTGAATCTCCAGAAACCGGACCCACACTCGTAAACCCTGCCTTGAACTACGAAACACTCCATTTTCCAGTTTTTTCATAAGAACCTACAAGGAAGTAGGTACTGTAGCATCTGCTCCGGGCATGGCAGCTGAAGGTGGTTTCCTGGGGCGATTCACGCATGGGCGGATGCTCTGCAAGTGTGCAGGATCAGCTCTGGCCCCTGTGCGCTCGAATTGCTTGGGGTCGGCTTATGGGGTTTAGGGGTGATTGGGGTCTGAACCTTCAGGGCTGTAGAGACCTCTATGACGGGTAGTTTGGGGGGCTTTACGGGTTTTGAGGTCGAGGCTTCAAGTGTTCGTGGTTATAGGGTTTGGGAGTTACGGGTGTTCACTTGAGGCCGTGCAGCTTGTGATGCCATTTGGGGTTCTGGTGGTTCAACTTTCGACGGTCTGGGTTAAGACACCTTCGCGAGATTGAAGCCCGAGGACAAAACAGTTAAGAGTCCTTGGCCCTGTGCCTCAATTGCACATCTGTTTGTCTCACTGCCACACGTGAGTTCAGAACTCGTGCATGGGCAGCTCTCTGCATCAAATTAGCGGGATTCCGAGTGCGACTGGACACCAGTCCGAATTCCTCATCCAGAAGTGTGCCCAGTGTTGACCCGTCCTTGACCGCGATTTGCAGGGAAATACATGGGGGGTTCCCGAAAATAGGGGACCCTAATATAGTACCCTAAATAGTAGGATCCTAATTATAAGGACCCCAAAATAAGGTACCCCCTATTTTCGGAAACTCCCACAGTGTGTCTTTCGTTGTCGCTGGCAGTGCCCCTTTCACCGCTGTGTAGTTTTGGGATTCTCAGGCCTTGGGCCTCCGGGCCTGGCTCCAGGCTCTGTCCCCCGTGATCCCGCAAATTTTACCGAACTTTTGAAGCAGCTTGTGGTTGCTTGGAGGATCATGGAACTTAGTAAAGTAAGGGTTATAAGTCCCCGAATTGGGGTTATAAGTATAGTTACCNNGTCCCATGATCCTTTAAGTGTGGTTGGGGTCTAGCAGCGGGCAGCTGGCATCTTGAGCCCGAAGGCTAAGCCTAAGCCCAATCTGAAGCATTGACTTTTTAAGCTCCTCGTACGGTCGCTGTCCTAGGGGCATCCAGCAGCTGACGGCAACAAGCAGGGCGTTTGCTGCGCTCCGCATCTTGGCTCTGTGGATCCTGAAAAATGGAACTCTGGGCTCCGAATCCTTCCAAGGAAACGCAAATGGGCTGCCTGCTGGGTTTTCGGTTCAGGTTCGGTGGCATGGCTGAAGGCGCTGCAAATTCCGGCGCGCAAACAAAAACTGTCAAAGCCACATCATGCCAAGGTTCGGACAGTCAGGTGGTGTGTTGGGGTGACCCGGCATGCGGCGGCGATGCCTCATCCATGGAGGCCTGCCCTCCCCGATTCGACAGCTGGGGACGTTTTAGGGTTCTAGATTCTAGGGTTTCGGGATTAGTGCTTCAGGCTTGAAGGGTTTAGGAGTTTAGGGCTCTGGGTGGCAACTGGAAAGATCAGTGGACTTGGGAAGTGTTGGGCAACTTGGGCACTCGGAACTGCCCCGCAGCACCCTAATGACAAGCTGCTCGCCGCATGCACCATGCACTGCCAGCAACACATAAGGGGAGGGGGTCCTCAACAAACAGCTTTCCTGTTTTTGAAGGGGGGCACCACTGTTCTTGGACCTTCCAACCTTTCACGTATACAGCTGAGTATTGATACGCAGTTTTACCGGACGTCAGTTCTAGCTTATTTCGAGGTTCAAGGAGAGAACGCGGCTGCAGCAAAACCTGTCGTTTTCGTATCAGCTCTGCTCGTCCTAAGTGAGTGATCTAACGCCTGAACCCTCAAACCGTCAACCCGAGAATTCGTAGCCAAATATCCAAAATCCTCAAGCCCTGAACTCCAAAATGTTATACCCGAAGCCCTTATTTTCACCTTTGGACCCCAGCTGTTCGTCATCCAGCAATAAGACATGAAAAACCCCAAATACAGAAGCTCGTCTAAGCCTCTGTATGTAAAAACACAGGTAAACGGCCCACAGCAACGTATTCTAATTTGAAAGAGCCTTCAGTCGGAGCTCGTGCGCATCACGTCCGTTACCGGTTCGGGGGCAGCGTTTGCGGCGCTGCGCAGCACCGCGGTCGATGAGGGTTCCTGTAAGGTTTCGTTGCAGGGTTTCTGCAGGATTCCTTTACTGGTTTTCGGGTTGGGGCTCGGGGTTTTGGACTCGTGGTTCTAAGGTTTCCAGGTTCTTGGGATGATGTAACTTGTCGTCCAAGGTATAATGTTGTGTGCGGGTTTGACATACATACATCCCAGAGGCTACATAAACATCAGGATCTGGGATTGGGGTACGCTATAGGGAAATTTCCGGAAAGCTTAGTTTGAGAGATCTTCGTCTTAATGTGGTCTTCTGTGACCAAAGTATACAGCCTGGCATATGATTCTGGGGTGCGCTGTTTCCGGGTTTAGGCTTCCCGGTTCCGGGACGAGGCATGCATCCGTTCTTCAGGGATAAAGTGGTGTGCTCTTCTAATGCCTATGCTTGCGATCGTTGCGACTACTGTCGACGTCGCTGTTGCTGTTGCTATTGCAGATGTGTTACAGTTACAGGCGAGATCAAGTTATCTCGGGACACGTTCTCCGACGATTCTCCGAATTTAAACCCAGTTTTCCGACTGCATAACAGCTTTCGGCATACGAGAGCAGATGTCAGCTCTGTCAACAATGAACCAGCTCGCGAGGTCCTGGCTGATGCTGAAGATACGTATCAAAGACTCAGGGATCAGAGGCTTCAGGGATTGTCGAGAAAGGCTTCAACTAGGGTTTCTCGAGGCAGTTAGGGTTTCATCTGGGGGTCTTCAGCATTTGAAGTTGTTGCCCTAAACCCCAAACCCCTCAACCC